TCAAAAATGAATAAACGTTAAAAAAAAAAAAAAATTAAAAAAAATTAAAAAAAAATAAATGGAGAGAAAATGACAATAGAAGAAAATTTGGAAAATCAGGAATGAAGAAAGAACAATGGAAGGTGTTAAAATAGGAATAAATACAATGTATCTTCCCTTTTCTTTTGGGTTCTCTGTTTTTAAAAAATTTTTTTAATGTTTATTTATTTATTTATTTTTTTTTTGAGAGACAGACAGACATGAGCCGGGGAGGGGCAGAGAGAGAGGGAGACACAGAATCTGAAGCAGGTTCCAGGCTCCAAGCTGTCAGCCCAGAGCCCGACATTGGGCCCGAATCCAAGAACTGTGAGATTATGACCTGAGCTGAAGTTGGACGCTTAACCGACTGAGCCACCCAGGGCCCCCAGGTCTCTCTCTCTTTTTTTTTAAATGTTTATTTTTGAGAGAGAGAGAGAGAGAGAGAGAGGGGGAAACAGAGGATCTGAAGTAGGCCCTGCGCTGACAGTAGAGAGCCTGATGAGGGGCTCAAACTCGCAAACTATGAGATCATGACCTGAGCCAAAACCAAAAGTTGGACACTTAACCAACTGAGCCACCCAGGCGCCCCTCCTTTTGAGTTTTCTAGATTATGTTTGATGGATGAAGCAAAAACGATAGAGCTCTCTGCTGTGTTCTAGATGTATTTATAGGTAATATTTAAGACATTTGTATTTTAAATGAAGGAGGATAAGGGGTATAAAAGGGAGATGAGTTTTCTGTGCTTCAAACTGGTAAAATGTTGATGCCAGTAGGCTGTGATGAATTATGTACGTATATTGTTATATCCAGAGCAACCACTAAAAAAAACTATGCATAGAGATATACTAAAAAAAATGCCAGGGATAATTCAAAACGAGATCCTAAAAATAGTTCAAGGAACCCACAGCAAGTTGGGAAAAATAAAGCAGAACAAACAAAAAACATGAAATTACAGACTTAAGTCATATCAATAAAGGCTTGAACATTACTCCAATTAAAAGAGATTGGCCGAGTGGATTATATAAAACTTGGCCTAACCATCTGCTGTTAGGTTACGTCTATGAGATGTTTCTCTGATGAGGTATTTCTAGGAGCAGTTTATATCACATAGAATGATGTAGATAGGTTGAAAGTGAAAGGTTGAAAAAAGATATATTATGAAACACTGAAAGAAAGTAAGAGCGACTCTATCAGAGTAAAGAAATTACCAGAGGCAGACAGGAACATTACACAATGCTGTAAGAACCTACCAAGAAACGGGCTCTGGGCTGATGGCTCAGAGCCTGGAGCCTGTTTCTGATTCTGTGTCTCCCTCTCTCTCTGCCCCTCCCCCGTTCATGCTCTGTCTCTCTCTGTCCCAAAAATAAATAAACGTTGAAAAAAAAAAATTAAAAAAAAAAAAAAAGAACCTACCAAGAAGGCAAATGCACAGGTACTGCCTACAGCCGAAAAATATGTGAAGTCCACACAGAACCGAAAGAAGTAGATAAATACACAATGATAGTTGGAGACCTCAGCACTCCTCTTTCAGTAATTGTTAGAAAAGCTAGGCAAAAGTCAGCAAGAACATAGGAAAATGCGACTCTGTCATCACCAAACAGGGTCTTTGGATATTTGTATAACACTCCACCCAACAACATCATACATATTTTTTTTCAAGTGTCCATGAAACATTCTCAAAGATGGACTGTATCCTGGGCCTTAAACAGCCTAAACGGATTTAAAAGCGTTTAAATTTTTTCATACAGAGTCTCTTTCCTGACCACGGTAGAGTCAACTTAGAAATCAATAAAAGACAGAAAACAGAAAAATCTCCAAATACTTGGAAACTAAACAACACAATTGTAAATAACTCATAGTGTAAGGAGGAAGTCTTAAGGAAAATTTAAAAATCATTCAACTGAGGGGCGCCTGGGTGGGTCCGTTGGTTAAGTGTCTGACTTCGGCTCAGGTCATGATCTTGCAGTTCATGAGTTGGGCTCTGTGCTGACAGCTCAGAGTCTGGAGCCTGCTTGGGATTCTGTGTATCCCCTCTTTCTCTGACCCTCCCCCTCTCGCTCTCTCTCTCTCTCTCTCTCTCTCAGATAAATAATAAAACATTAAAAAAATGTTTAAATCAATGAACTGAAAAAAATGAAAGTAATCACATATCAAAATTTGTGGGAACAGCTAACACAGTGCTGAGAGGATAATTTATGACATTAAATATTTACATTTAAAAAGAGAAAAACACTCATTAATCTCAGTTGACATCACAAGCATTTGGGAAAAAAAAAAAAGAGTAGGGGTGCCTGTGTGGTTCAGTTGGTTGAGTGTCCGACTTTGGCTCAGGTCATGATCCTGTGGTTCGTGAGTTTGAGCCCCACGTCGGGCTGACTCCAGTTCAGAGCCTGGAGCCTGCTTCAGATTCTGGGTCTCCCTCTCTCTCTACCCTTCCCCCAACACCCTCTCAAAAATAAATAAACATTAAAAAAATTTTTTTTTAAAAAGAGTGAAATAAACCCAAAGCAAGCAGAAGGAAGGCAATAACATAAAGGCAGAAATCAATGAAAATGAAAACAGGACAACATTGAAAAAAAATTAGTGAATCCAAAAACTGGTTATTTAAAAATATCAACAAAATCTACAAAACACTGAAAAGACTGACAAAGGTAAAAGACACAAATTATCAGAAATGAAACGAGGGATCACTACAGACCCTGAGGACATCAGAAGGATCATATAGGAATATATGCATGCATTCTGTGTGATTCCATTTATGTAACGTTCTTGAAATGACAATAATACAGAAATGGATAACAGTCAATTAGTGATTGACAGGAATAAAGGATGAGGAGCAAATAGGAGGGAAGTGGATGTGGTTATAATGGTATAGCAGGAAGGATCCTTGAGGTGCTAGAATTGTTCTCTATCTTAACTATCAATGTCAGTCTCCTGGTTGTGATTCTGTACTACTGTTTTGTAAGATGTTACCTTTGCGGGGATTGAGTAAAGGGTATATGTTATCTCTTTGTGTTATTTCTTAAAATACATAGGAATCTACAGTTCTCTCAAAATAAAAGTTAAACAAAAAATTCATGTAAAAAAATTCCAAAAAGAAAACAGTTGTTTCTTCGGGGGAATTTGTGAAACAGCAACATTCCTTTCTTTTCTTCATTCAGAAGTGTAATAGTTCTATGTCTGAAGCTAAAACCAATTGAGGATTGGTTCTTGAATTTGGTTAATTGAACTATTAATGTTATTAAAAAGCAAGTTATCCATTATATTTTCTATCATATTTAGAATTTTTTTTGCCTTTGCTACTATATCCTTCTCAAAAAGAATTCTTTAAAATATTCAATGAAGTTTAGAAATTAGCTAGAAAAAAGGAAATCTAGGAGAAGCACAATAAAATATTTTTTAAAATAACATTTAGATTTTAGTTGATTTAAGAACCCTAAGTATACAAGGGTCTAACATATTGTGGATTTGAGAAGGAGGAAGCAAATTATATAACTATGTTGCATCAAGCGAGGCTTTGAATAGTTCTATTTATTTTGTGGTATTTGTTATACTGAGTGATAATGACTTTTCATCTTTTGGACTGCAGTTTATGAATATTCAAAGATTGAACATCTTTGGTTTTTATGATCTTTGCTGTGTCTTTCCTGATTTCACTTTTCTTTTACTCTTGTTCTTCCTCTTTCTTGTTTGTCCAAACTTTCAGATCAATATGCTTCTCAATTTTAAGGATGATAAAAGTGAATGTCCATGTCCTGAAGAAATCCGAGACCAGCTCTTAGATTTTCATGAAGATTTGATGACACATTGTGGTAATGTCTTCTTGACTTACAACTCTTTTTAAATGTGTTATTGTTTGATTAATTGATAATTGATAATTCACCACTATATAATTTTAGAATATACAGTGTGATGGTTTGATTTGCATATCTTATGAAATGATTGCCATAATAGGTTCTGCTAAGCATCCATCTTCTCATATAGATGCATTAAAATTTTACAAGGAAGAATAACGGGAAAACTTTTTTTCCTTGTGATGAAAACTCTTAGGATTTACCTTCTTAACAATTTTCCTGTATTTCATACAGCAGGGTTAGCTATAGTCATCATGCTGTACATTGCATACCTAGTACTTATTTAACCTATAACTGGGAGTTTGTACCTTTTGACCAGTTTCCTTCAATTCCTCTCTCCCCACTCCCCACTTCTGGTAACAAGTCTGCTTTCTTTTTCTCTGAGTTTGTTGTTTGCTTATGTGTTTGTTTTGGTTTTTAGGTTTTATATATAAGTGAGATCATACAATATTTCTCTTTTTCTGTCTGGCTTATTTCTCTTAGCATAATGCCTTCATGTTCTGTCTTTGTTATCACAGATGGCAGTATTTCCCAGTTTTCTGGCTAAATAATATTCCGTAGTATGTATATACCACAACTTCTTTATCCATTCATTTCCAGATGGACACTTACATTGTTTCCATGTCTTGGCTATTGTAAACAATGCTCCTATGAGCATGGAAGTGCAGATTCCTTTTCCAAATTAGTGTTTTTGTTTCATTTGGATATGTTTTAAGAAGTGGGTTACTGGATCATATGGTAGTTCTATTTTTAAAATTTTGTGAGGATCCTCTATACTGTTTTCCACAATAGCTGTACCAATTTACAATTCATCAGCAGTGTGCAAGGTGTTCTGTTCTCCACATGCTCACCAGCATTTTGTTAATCTTTTGCCTTTTCAGTGGTGGCCATTCTAATAGGTGTGAGGTGCTTTGCTACCTGATTATGGTTTTGATTTACTTCTCTCTAATGACCAGTGATGATGTTGAGCATCTTTTCATGTACCATTTGGGCCTTTCATATGTCTTTTTTGGAGCTGAAGAAACGTCTATTCAAGTCCTTTGCCCATTTTTTAATTGAGTTGGGTTTTTTTGTTTTGTTTTGTTCGCTATTGAGTTATAGAAGTTCTTTATATGTTTTGGGTATCAACTCCTTATCAGATATATAGTTTGAAAACATTTTTCCCCATTCTGTAGGTTGTCTTTTCACTTGGTTAGTAGTTAATTTGATGTAGTCCCATGTGTTTATTTTTGTTATTGTTGCTTGTGGTTTAGGTGTTATATGCATAAAATTATTACCAAGACCCATATCAAGGAGCTTTGTTGCTATGTTTTTTTTCTAGAAGTTTCATGAATGGGGTCAAACATTTAAGTCTTTAATCCATTTGTAGTTAATTTTCATGAGTGGTTAAGATATGGGTCCAGTTTCATTCTTTTAAATGTGAATATCTGATTTTCCCAGCACCATTTATTGAAGACTGTCTTTTTCTCCATTGGGTATTCTTGGCAACCTTGTCAACTAACAGTAAACCATGTACGCTTGGGTTTATTTCCAGGCTCTCGATTCTTTTCCGTTTATCTATTTGTTCATTTTTATGCCAGTTCCATGCTGTTTTGATGACTCTAGTGAAATCAGGAAGTGTGATACTTCTTGATTTACCCTTCTTTCTCAGAATTTCTTTGGCTATTGGAGGATTTTATGATTTCATATAAATTTTAGAAAGGTTTTTTCTACTTCTGTAAAAAATGCCTTTGAAATCTTGAGAGGGATTGCACTGAATCTAAGATAGCTTCTGATAATATTACCATTTCAACAATATTCTTCCAAATCCATTAACAGAAGATACCTTGCCAGTATTTGTGCCTTCTTCTTTTCACCAATGTATTGTAATTTTCAGCATAGAAATCTTTTGCCTCCTTAGTTAAACCTCTTCCCGAGTATTTTATTGTTCTTGATGCTATTGCAAATGGGAATGATTTTTTTAATTTCTTTTTCAAAAATTTCATTTTTGGTTTATAGAAACACTACATATTGTTGTCCTGCAACTTTAGTGAATTCATTGATTAGATCAAACAGGTTTTTAGGTTGAATCTTTAGGATTTTCTATATAAAAATCATGTTGTCTGCAAATAGAAACCATTTCATTTATTCCTTTCCAATTCATGTACCTTTTATTTCTTTTTATTCCCTAATTGTTCTAGCTAGGACTTTCAGTACTGTGTTGAATAGGAATGGTGAGAGTGGGTAACTTTGTTCTGTTCCTAATCTTAGAGGGAACATTTTTAATATTTCACCATTGAGAAATAAAAGCTATGGGTTTGTCATATTGGCCTTTGTTATGTTGAGATATATTTCTTCTGTGCCTAATTTGTTAAGAGTTTTTATCATGAATGCATGTTAAATTTGGTTGAGTGTTCTTTCCAACGTGCCTACAGAAATGATCATATGATTCTTTTCTTTCATTCTATTATTGTGGTGTATCATGTTGATTGTTTTGCATATGTTGAACTATCCTTGAATCCCAGGGATAAATCATGCTTGATCATGGAGAATGATCCTTTAAATATGCTGTTGAATTCAATTTCCTGGTATTGAGAAATTTTGCATCCCTATATGTCAGGGATAATGTCCTGTAGCTTTCTTTTCTGGTAGTGTTCTTTGCAGTTTTGGTGTCAGGATAATGCTGGCCTAGTAAAATGAGTTTGGGAGTGTTTCCTCCTTTTTGATTTCTTTGGAAGAGTTTAAGAATTGCTGTTAATTCTTCTTTAAATGTTTGGTAAAATTCACCAGTAAAGCCTTTCTTCATTGTGAGATATTTGAGTACAGACTCATTTTCCTTAAATTGCTCTATTCAGAGTTTCCATTTCTGTCTTGGTAAGGTGTATGTTTCTAAGAACTTTTCCATTTCTTCTAGGTTGCCCACTTTGTTTGCTTATAATCTTCATCGTAACCTTTTATAATCTTTAGAATTTCTGTGGTATCTTTTTCATTTTTTCATTTACAATGTCTCCTTTATCATTTATATTGTTGTTAACTTTAGTCCTGTTTCCTCCCCCCGGCCTTGGTTAGTCTACCTAAACGTTTGTCAATTTTGTTGGGTTTTTTTAGAGAAATAACTCTTATTTTGGTTAATCTTTTCTATTGTTTTTTGATCTATACGTCATTTATTTCTGCTCTAATCTTTAATATTTCCTTTCTTCTGCTAACTTTAGGCTCTGTTCATTCCTCTTTTTCTCGTTCCTTAAGATTACACTTTGGTTTATTTGGGATCTTTCTTGCCTCTTAATGTAAGCACTTATGTACTGCTATGAACTTCCCTCATAGAACTGCTTTAGTTGCCCTCATAAATTCTGGCATGTTGTGTTTCCAGTTTTATTTGTCTCATTAAATTTATTTCCCCTTTAACTTATCCTTAGATTCATTGGTTATTCAAGAGAATGCTGTTTAATTTCCCTGTGTTCATGAATTTTCCAGGTTTCCCCCTGTCATTGATTTCTGATTTCATGCCTTGTGGTCAGAGAAGATAACCAGTATAATCAGCCCTCTTGAATTTACTAAGACTTGTTTTATGGCCTAGCACATATTCTATCCTAGAAAATGTTCCATGTGCACTTGAGAAGAATGTGTATTCTGCTGTTGTGTAATAGGATGTTTTCTATATGTCCTCTAGGTCATTTGATCTGTACTGTTGTTAAAATCCATGCTTTCCTTATTGATTCTGTCCTGGATGATCTATTCATTGTAGAGAGTGGGGTATTAAAGTCCCCACCTATTATTATATTACTCCTTATTTCCCCATTTAGTTTTGTTTTTGTTTTTGTTTTTGTTTTTTACCTTTTCCTTTATACATTTAAGTACTCCAGTGTTGGGTGCATAAATATTTATAGTTGTTATATCTTATTGATGTATTGACCTCTTTATCATTATATAATGACCCTCTTTGCCTCATTTTACCATTTTTAGTTTAAAGTCTCTTTTATCTGATGAATGTATAGCTTCCTGTGGTATTTTATTTTGGTTTGATTATGTTTTGGTGGGAGTTGTTGGTTTTTATTATTATTATTATTATTATTATTATTATTATTTTTAGTTATTTGCTTGAAATGCCATTTTTCATCCCTTCACTCTTGGTCTTTGTCTTTAAGGCTAAAGTGAATCTCTTATGGGCAGCATATGGTTGGATCTTATTTTTATTCAGCTATTCTGGGTCTTTTGGTTGGAGAATTTTATACATTTACATTTAAAGTAATTATATTGCAAATAAGGACTTACTATTACTATTTCATTATTTTTTGGGTTGTTTTGTAAATCAACTTTTCCTTTTTATTTATCCTGCTGTATTTTGTGTTGATATCTTTTGTTATGAGTATGCTTGCCCTTTTTTCTTGTGTTCTTTTGTATAATTATTATAAAATTTTCCCTTGTGGTTACCATGAGGTTTATGTAAAATAACGTAAAGTTATAACAACATATTTGAATTCATTTAAAAAAGCTAATTTTAAAGAAGAATCGTGAGTTATGCACCACTATTACCTTACTGTAAAATCTAATTTTGATTATATGCTTACCATTACTGGTAATATTTATGCTACCTTTTTGTGTTTTTATGATCTTAATTAGAGTTTTTTGACTTCCATTCAAAGAACTCCCTCTGACATTCCCTATAAGGCAGATTTGGTGGTAATGAACTTCCTTAGCTTTTCTTTATTGGGGAAAGTATCTATCCCTCCTCTTTTTCTGAAGGACAGTGTTGCTGGGTATGGAATTCTTGGCTGATAGTTATTTTCTTTCAGTGTTTTGAATAAGTGGTCCCATTCTCTCCTGTCCTGACAAGTTTCTGATGAGAAATTTGCCAGTGTTCTTATGGGAGATCCCTTTTACATAACTTCTCTCTTTTGCTGCTTTTAAAATTCATTTCTTGCCTTTGCTTTTTGACATTTTAATCATAATGTGTCTCAGTGTAGCCTTCTACAGGTTCAACACCTTTGGGGTCTTTTGGGCCACATGGATCTGCATGTCCATTTCTCTCCCCAGATTTGGGAAGTTTTCAGCCATTATTTAAATATACTTTCTGGGGGCGCCTGGGTGGCGCAGTCGGTTAAGCGTCCGACTTCAGCCAGGTCACGATCTCGCGGTCCGTGAGTTCGAGCCCCGCGTCGGGCTCTGGGCTGATGGCTCAGAGCCTGGAGCCTGTTTCCGATTCTGTGTCTCCCTCTCTCTCTGCCCCTCCCCCGTTCATGCTCTGTCTCTCTCTGTCCCAAAAAAATAAATAAACGTTAAAAAAAAAAAAAATTTAAATACACTTTCTGGCCCTTGTGCTTTCTCCTTTTGGAATTCCCACAATGTGAATATTGTTTCTTTCCATTTTGTCCCATAAATCTCATAGGTTTTCTTCAGACTGCATGATTTCAATCGACCTATTCTTCAGGTTTTTGATTCTTCTTCTGCATGTGGAGTCTACTTTTGAAACTCTCAGTCAAATTCTTCAGTTACTGTATTTTTCAACTCTAGGATTTCTGTTTATTCGTTTTAATGATTACTGTTTCCTTGTCAAACTTCTTGTTTTGAACTGTTTTCGTAATTTTGTTGAGCCGTCAATGTGTATTTTTCATACACATGTACTGATACCAAAGTTAATATAAATGTAAATAGGCTCAGAAATATACATGATGCCTGTTAGGAGTCCATATAAGAATATTTACTATGCCAAAATGGTTAACTGACCCTGTGTGGGAAGTCATAAAAAGTAGAGAGATCACAAAGGCTTTAGTACTAAGCAGGAGATAACCAACATCTTATTTTTATTTTTTCTCTTTTCTTCAGTGGCAGGGAATGGGAAGGGGGGATTGGGACATGTAACCAGATGCTTCTGGCAAAGAGATGAGAGTTAGGTTGATTTAGTCTAAAGATATTTGATCACAAATAGTTGTATTTAAACCAGTTGTGGGGCACTTTTTAGGACTGGCCTAAGAAATGTGGCACATATCTTTTGAAATTAATTAATGCTTAAGGAAATCCTTTGTTAAGTTATATGTCAGTAGCCCAAATCTATTAAGGGAGCTTTCCCCACCTTTCATTCTAAGAACTTTTAAAATAGAATTGACTTGTTCTCAACATGTGGTGCTTTTTCCTTTTAAGCAGTGATACGAACAAACTGTCCCAGTGAAAGAGAATTAATTAGTCATTTATTAGTCATTTGTTAAGTGATGTATAGCACCAGTGGCATTATTTTTATTTTAGTTTAGTGAAGAGAATACAAGCATAACCTTGCATATTAATTTAACTTATGAATGAAGAAGACTAAATGAGCGCAATAAAAGTTATACTATATATCTGTTATAAATAAAGGGATGCTCTAAAATGATAGGATTATTGCTTAAGACGTAAAGCATTTCGCTGGGTTAGGATAGCTAATTATGCCTACCATCTTTTCTCTCAATTTGTTAAAATACCACTGTGTTTTTTAGAGGCAGTTGAGGTGGCTGACAGTTCAGGAGTTTTTTTTGGGAGGGCAAAGCTGTGAGTTTGTGCAGATAGCACGTGAAGTCAGACATGCCTGAGGGTCAGCCTAAGGGTCAGACTAAATAGCAGAATTGATCTGGACTCTTAAGAGTGTTTTTTTGTTCTCTGTCTCGTTTTATAATTTGTCTCAGCTGCTAATAGCCCTGGGCCCATTGGAACAGGAGAAAAAGAGAAAGGAGGACATAGAGGCCAGTGTGTGGATTTTACCTGAGAGCTAGTGAAAGTGTGCTTAACTCTGTCTTGTCAAATGTTCTTGACGTGACAGCATTGCTTTAAGCTATGTGTGGATAAGTTGCAAAACCAGAGCATTTTTCTCCTAAATGTATTTCTTTCAAACACATTTTTCTTTTCTTCGTTCTCTTTGCTTTTCTCACACCAGGAATTGAGCTGGATGAAGATGGGTCTCTTGATGGAAACAGTGACTTAACAATTAGAGGACGCCTGCTGTCCTTGGTAGAAAAGGTGACATACCTGAAGAAGAAACAGGCCGAAAAACCAGTTGAGAGTGGCTCCAAGAAGTCCTGTAAGCAGTATGGAAGGAAACTGGCAAAGCAACCCAACTGCTGACATTTATTTCTCCTTTGAGCTAACATCATACTAGATGAGCCAGTGAGAAAATTGAGTTTGCAGCTTCTCAGAATCAGATTCTTTTTCTTAAAGTGTATTTACTAATTTTGAGAGGAAGAGAGAGACAGAGAGCAGGGGAGGGGCAGAGGGAAGGACAGATGATCCGAAGCAGGCTCCAGGATAACAGCAGAGAACCCAATGCGGGGCTCGAACTCACGAACCGTGAGATCGTGACCTGAGCTGATCGGAGCTGAAGTCGGGTGCCTTAACCGACTGAGCCCCCCGGGCACTGCTAAGATTCACATTCTCAAGTAGATGTCTATGGCCGCCAGAAGTAGAGAGGAGCATCCAACTGTATTTGTAGGAACGGATGGAGAGGTAGCAGTATTATAAGGATGGATGGGCTCCCTAGAGGACCAAAAATTTAGGTATTTGATCAGGGACTATCAACAGAAGGTACAAAGTGGGTAATTTAGCTTTCATGTCTAAATATTATGCTATTGACTTTCAAATGTTCTTGCACCAAGTTAAGCTTTTTTGTTAAAGTTTAGATAGTATCTGTAACTATATTTTGGTTCTGTGATATTTCCTGAACCGTTACGCGTTTCTGATGTACTTTTATCCTAAATAGGATAAATATTCAGTTAAATAACTGAAGAGTAACAGCCGATACTCAGAAAATGAATACGCACACTGGGGCTGTGAGTCTCAGGCATGGCACTGGCCCAGGAGGGGTTCAAGTAGTGGGTTGATGAGATCCTTCTTACTTGCTACCTCACATCGAAGTCTCTGTTCATTTTGTGAGGCAGCACTGGTTTATGAACAGTTTTTACTGAAAGAAGAGAAATAAACTCATGAAGATTTTAGTTGTTTTTCGTTTCCATTAACTTACAGTGAAAATCCTTCATCCATACAACTACTTCTAAATGTACTGTTCAGTGTCACACGCAGATCTGAATCATACCTTCTTCCAAATAAGAGTTCAAGATTTCCTATGAAACACTTTTTGTTATTATCTGGTTTATGGTTCTGACGTACTAAAATTATCAGCCTGGTTTTGAGACATGTGGAAGTATACTGGCTATTTATCTACATTTCCTGTTTGGTTAAAATTGGTAGGTTTTGTTTTTCCTTTACTTCCTGTGTAGATTAAAGCAGGTAAAACAGCTTCTTTTGAAAATCTGCCAGTGTGTTAATGATAGGAATTGAGTACCTCTTTGTGTCTAAGTTGGTCGCATCTTTCTACTTAGCTTTGATATTTTTATTATTAATTTTTAGGAGGTTTGGAAGTTCTGTTGCTTTTGTCTGTATTACACTGTATGTTACATTGCAAATTTACATTAGAATAACTTTTCACTTGAATACAGCTTTACAATCAAATCCTTTGAAGACATTTTAACTGACAATTAGGGATCCAAATTATAGTAAAAATATAATTATATGAGGTCACTATTACAAATGGCTCAAATGAGGAGATAGAAAAATAGATAGTTCCTTGAGTGCACATGACTGACTTTATAAGGATGTATGGTGATGTCACATCTGGGAGGAAAATAATGCAACAAAGAAAATAAAAGTGGAAGTAATTGTTCATATTGATTACCCTATGGATTGCCAACAGTAGTTTTGAAAAAGTGGCCATAGTTCTGAAACAGCTTAAATTCTTTAATTATAAGAATGAGTGTTAAGGAAAAGCTTGTGTGTTTTTGCCTTTTCATGTTCATAACTCATTTTTATTGACATATATATATGACATATATATATGACTGACATATATATATAGAGATATAGATATAGATATATATTATATATATAGCGTTTAAATGAAGTTTTTCTTCAAAGAATGTTCCTAGCCTTTTCATTTCTGGTATTAGGCTGGGGCTATGAGAGGTACAGCTGAAATGCCCAACTCATTTGTCTTCTCTCGTTTGTTTTTTTTTTTTCCTTTTAAAAAATACCCGTAATGACTGTGCAGCCACTCTTCAGCAGTTGATTTCTGAAACCATGGTCCGATGGGCGCAAGAGTCTGTCATTGAAGACCCTGAACTGGTGAGGGCCATGTTTGTGTTGCTCCATCGACAGTACGATGGCATTGGGGGTCTGGTCCGGGCTCTGCCAAAGACCTACACTATAAATGGTGTCTCCGTGGAGGATACCATCAACCTGCTGGCATCTCTCGGTCAGATTCGTTCTCTGCTGAGTGTAAGAATGGGCAAAGAAGAAGAGAAGCTTATGATTCGTGGATTAGGGTAATTTATTTAACTACTACAACCTCTGTCTTATAAATGTCTTCCTTCTAATCGTTTATTCCAGTAGGTGCACTGTACATTTATTAATATAGATACACTGCTTAGATTACAGGCACGCCGCATCGTATTGTGCCTTGCTTTATTGCACTTTGCAGGTAGTGAGTTTTTCACAAATGGAAAGTTTATGACCACCTTGCATCGAGCAAGTCTATGGGCAACTTTTTTTTTTTTTTTTAAACATCATTTGCTCACTTTGTGTCTCTTTGTGTCACGTTTTGGCAATTCTCACAATATTTCAGGCTTTGTTATTATTATTATATTTGTTATGATGGCCTGTGATCAGTGGTTACGACTCACCGAAAGCTCAGGAAATGTTAGTATTTTCAGCAATAAAGTATTTTTTAATTGAGGTACATGTGCTGTTTTGTAAAACGTAATTTTCCTATGCTTTTAATAGACTCTAGCATATTATAAACATAACTGTTGTATGCACTGGGAAACCAAAAAATTTATTCGATTTGCTTTATTGCAATATTTTGCTTTATTGCAGTGATCTGGAACCAAATCTGCAATATTTGTGAGATACACCTGTAATATGATTATTAAATGAGATTGTTGCTTTTCTAGACATTATATTTTACAGCTCACTAGAAAAACGACTAATTTTACAACTAGATGCTAAGGTGGCAATGATACAGCACATATCTTAGAGGGTTTTTTAAATTAATTTTTCAGTAATGTACAATCATATATAAAAATACAGGTTAATAAAAACACATTAAACTCTGTGGGGAGACAAACACTCACCACAGGAATAAGGAATTTTGTCTGTATTTACTGGGCCTTGAAAAAAGAATGGGGAGAGAATTCAACATTATAGGTGTGCTTTGTGTGAATTTGGGGATTAACATTTATACCTCATGTGTAGCCTAAGGATCCCAAAACTGAGAACATAAAAATTGGCCTCAAATCACTGTGAAATTTTGAAGGAAAAACCTAAATACTACCAGTGGTTAACTTACAATCGAAAATTGCAAAGTACATAAGGAAACAGTCTGCCTTAAGCAAGGGTCTGCAGATACAATACTGGTGGAGTCAGAACACCTATTTCAAAACTTCAGATAATACAGTGCCAGAAAGAGAACATAAAGTTACTGTATTTAAAATGGTAAAAATACAAAGGATAAATCAATTCTCCAAAAATAAATCATGGAAAAATGTCCATGAAAATTTGAAAAGGATCCAAAGATCTCCCTCTGCCCTCCCCTGCTTGCACTCTTGTCTTTCTCCCTCTCTCTATCTCAGAAATAAATAAACATTAAAAAAATAAAGAAAAATTAAAAAAAGAGGGGAGGTGTGCCTGGATGGCTCAGTCAGGTTAGCTTCCAACTTCGGCTCAGATCTGATCTCATAGCTTATGAGTTCAAGTCCCATATCAGTCTCTGTGCTGACAGCTAAGAACCTGGAGCCTGCTTCAGATTCTGTCTCCCTCTCTCTCTGCCCCGCCCCCCTCTCTCAAAACTAAACAAAGAATAAAAGAAAATATAAAAAGGAAAAGATCAAAAGAGAACTTCTAGAAATGAAAAATACATTAAATGACATTAAAAACAGTGAATTGGTTAAATTAGGAAAGATCTAGCTGAAGAGAAAATTGGTAAGTGGGATCATAGATCTGAGGAAATTACTTAGTACTGTAGCACTGAGAGGTAAAGATAAGAAAATGCAAAAGAGCAGTTTTGAGACCTAGGGGATAGTATAAGAAGGTCTACAATATGGTAAACAGGATTTCTGGAAAAGACAGAATAGATAATCTAGAAAATGGGGACATTTGAAGAGTTAGCTGTTGGCTTGAGTTTTTCAGAATCAATGAAGAACACAAGTTCACAGATTATCCTCAAGTACAGGTAGTTCCATATACCCACCTGGATAAAATGTAGGGAAACCGCATAAAACCAGTGATAGACTATCTTAAAACTAAGTTGAAAGAAAAGCCAGAATACTTACCAAAAACAGAACAAAACAAAAACAAACAATGACAACAACAACAGCAACAAAAAAACAGTATTTGGAATTCTCAATGGCAAAACTAAAGATCATTACTCAATGAGAAACCATATTCAAAATTCTGACAGAAAATAACCATCAGTTTACCATGTGTTACTCAGTTGAGAATTCTTCACAATGAACTTGTGCTTCAAGGAGATTTGGAGATGAGAGTTTATAGCCCATATTTAAGAGTGAGGGCAATACAAAGTTATTTCAGAATATTTACTTACAGTTCCTCATCGAAAGACCTTCTAAAGGCTGTGCATTAGAGAAAAGGAAATGGAATTCAGAGAGAAAGAATGAGAAGGAGTAAGTTTTATTGAGTGTGTTACTGATGTATACATGCGTAAATATAGGAATCACTCACAAGATTGCATAATTCTGGAATATGAAAATACAAAAATAAAAGTTTAAGCTTTATCACGTTTGCAAGAATAATATCTAAACATTAGATGTAGAAATTGAATGTACAATGTTGAAAAATGATAGAGAATACAAACATTCTGCCAAAACAGTTAACCTAGTTAGATAAATATTAAAGAGGAGAATGAAAATAACTACTGACATGGATAAAATAGGGTATAAAGAAACAATAAAAGGGTTAAAGAAACCTAGAGTTCTTAAAACAAAACAAAACAAAACACTAATGGAATGGAATAACTACTCTTTTCTTTGACCTAAAAAATAACATTGTGGATAGAAAAATTATAGAAAGACTCAGATTGTGTAGTATTATTTACGTGCATTCTAAGTTCAGAACATAATACTGTATATTGGTCTTGGAACTATCAAGTATTTGAAATCATTAAAATAACGCTGGAAGGTTCTATTCCAAAATCATTATCACGGCACACTAAAAATAAGTATACTAACAGGACAAAAGAAGGAGAACAGAAAAACCGAAACAACAAAAGCAAATTCGATGGTCCTTGTAATCATATGAACATGAATCTTATTTTTTTAACGTTTATTTATTTATTTATTTTGAGAGCTAAAGAGACAACGTGTGAATGGGAGGGCCTGAGAGGGGGAGGCAGAATCCCAAGCAGGCTCCCAACTCAGCACAGAGCCCAACATGGGGCTCAGTCTCACAACCGTGAGATCACGACCTGAGCTGAAATCAAGAGTTGGACGCTCAACTGACTGAGACACCCAGGTGCCCCTGAATCTTGTTTTGAATACTAATACTTATATCTAACCCAAAAGGGCCTTGCACATAAATGATCTTACTTAACCAAATGAGAAAGGAAGCCTTCTAGGAAATGAACTCTTTCTTGTCAAATGAACATATAGTGATAATATATGCTGTTAACACATAAATCAGTAGTGATAAAACAAAATATTTCTGAAACAAAAAGTTACGTCTTTGTGGTATGAGACATACTTCTCACGGGACACGTTTAATGAGTGACAACCTGCCTACTGAGTGGTAGAATTATAAATCCACTCAATTTACTTGGAACTAAAGGCAAACAAGAGTTTTCAATTAAATATTTTCCAAAGTTCGGTCATGCAAAACGATTTCCATTAATGAAAGAACACAGCCTGTGATTACAAGTGTGGTTTGAAAATGGAAAGTTCTCCTGCTACATGTGTTGCTGTCTTCCGTGAAGGAAAAGGAGTCCTTTCTTTACCCCATATGTTCTTGCACGGAATAGATCTGACCTATTTTAGTCTTTGGCCCCCATGTCATTTTTGTGAGTTGTGCTATCTAAAGACTCTTGTTATTGAAGATAAACTAAACCCAACTAAAAGTGAAAAACTAGGAGCACTTGAGTGGTTCAGTTGGTTAAGTGTCGAACTCTTGATTTCGGCTCAGGTTGCAATCTCACGGTTCGTGGGTTCAAGCCCCACGTCGGGCTCTGCGCTGACAGCACAGAGCCTGCTTGGGATTCTCTCCCTCTCTCTCTGCCCTTGTCTCACTTGCTCTCTATCTCTCTCAAAATAAACATTAAAAAACAAAAGTGAAAAACTAAAACTAAAAAAAAAAAAAAAAAGCAAAAGAAAATCATTATACAAGATTCATACTATTTCATTGTCTTGATATGCCTGGAGTACCTATAAGTTAGCATATGACTAAATCAAGAGGTGAGTGAGTCAAAGGAGATCAGATATGAAGGGAAAGTTTGTTTCCCTGCAGGCTGTGCAATATAATTTTCTTGTTATATCCATGACAGGACTGTTTTGTAGAAAAAATCATATTGATTTAATTTACGTTCAAATAAAAATCAAGAGTTATTTATTTTTAATGTCTACTAAACATTAATATCCTTAGGAATGCCTTTACATACATATTATAAAAATATGTAATGGAATAGTAATAATGGGAAACATTTTGGATATCATCTGCTGCTTTTTTTTTTTTTTTTCAAATTGAATGTCCATTTTAATTTACTGGATTTAGATTAGTTGAACCTGGCCTTGATGTGTATTCAGTTTCTCTTTGAGAATATGTTTCCTTTAAAAAAGCATTTCTCTGGAATGATAACACAAAATGTTATTAAACATACAAATATTGAATACGGTGTGAAAAATAACCTACATGAAAAGCATAGATGTTTTTATATCAATAATTTATATGGGAATTTTCATAGAAACATGGTATAACAGTGACTCATATTTCTATACTAAAGAAGGTAGAACAGATGTTTGGATATATATAAAATTAGGAATAAGTGTCCAAAAGTATATTTCATATAGATGAATGTTTACATATTTAGTACCTTTCTTGTAATAGAAAAAAAATAGATAACTTGTATACTATTTTTGAGAGGCTATCATTATTTTTTGAGGAAAACTCAATTAATTATGCTTATTAGCTTTTGCTTTTATTAACTTTAATCATGATTGTGCTTACTTTTTTGTTCATGCCAGGAATTATTTCCAAAAGATTTATCAGGACCTCAGATAAATTGTCATTTAAATTTTTCTCTGACTTTTGTGCTCCCCTCCCCCCTACCTGTATTGTCCTTTCTAGGGATATCATGAATAATAAAGTATTTTACCAGCACCCTAATCTCATGAGGGCACTTGGGATGCACGAGACGGTGATGGAGGTCATGGTGAATGTCCTTGGAGGTGGAGAGTCCAAGGTAAAGGAAAACCTTTGATTCTTAAGATGCGAAGAAATATGACTCCTGAGGGCATCCATTACATATTCTTAATGAGGATTTCTTAAATCTTCTTAGGAGGACTATTTTTTAAAGAATAGCTTTCGAAAAAAAAAAAAAACAATAATAAAACCTTATAGATTGAGAATTGAATATGCTAGTTATTTTTTTCCTTTGATATTGGCAACAGTTTCTATCTTATACCGTGTAATTTTCTGTCTCCTAAACTATTCCCATTTAGTGGTTATTTAGAAACTTTAAACGTTAATATTATGCTAACTTTTCAAAATTCCGAATTATAAATTAATGTCCATTACATAAAAAGTCCAAAATACAAAACATGTTCTTCAGACCCAGACATTCCCCTTGATTTAGACAACAGTTAGTTCCACTAAATTCCTGATCCAGGCCACGTTTTGAAGATGGTGCTCTGGAGTATTTGTTTTAAGACTATAAAGTTAATTTTTTAAGTGATTCAAAATTAAAATAAAGTTCTTTAAAACCAAATGAACAAGAGTAATAAAACAGGCAACTTCATGTGAATCGGTGTAATTTCATGACCTATGATTTGCAAAATATATTTCAGTATTTTTGGAAATGTTAAGATATATTCTTCAAAATATGGAAAGGAGTCCATTTTTCTCATGTTCAGTTAGACAGACTTACAAAGATATTTATAAAGTATTCTGTTAGGGAGGGACTCAAGGGATTCATCTGGGGTATATTAGAACAAGATTTGGCCCTTAGGGGAGATGTATTTGATGGGATCTAGCATGCAGACCTTCTGGTCAAGGGGCTCATCACAGTGACAAGTCGGGCAAATCAGGGAAGGTGTGAATCCTGGAAACTTAAAAACAACAACAATAACACCTATGGTAAGAACGCCCTTCTGTGGTTCCAGGTAGTGGAACTTTTCACAAGTGGTCTCCTTGAACTTTCCCTATCTTACCTCAAGTAAGTATTATCATTCATTTTAATCCAGTTTTACAGAACTGAATCATTGAGACGGAGTATCATCCCGAGGAAGCACAGCTAACGGGTAGTCAGGATTCACAACTGAGTCTGCCTGAATGCTAGCTAGGTTTGTGCTGCCTGTAGATTAGTTCCAGATCAATTCATTGATGATAATGAGGTTTCTAAATTAGTGCTGGGCTTGTTCTTCAATGGCTCAAAGACTAGGTGAGTTAAAGTCGAGACAAATGATGGTCTTCAGTCTCGAAGGCTTGGCACCCGTGGGCACCCATGGAATGACAGTGTGATTGGATCTCAGCTTCTGAACTCAGTTTTCTGAAGACCATTGGCTCTCACCGCTAACTAAATGCTCTTTATGTAGGAAATCACTTTTCCCAAGATGGTGGCCAACTGTTGCCGTTTTCTTTGTTACTTCTGTCGTATAAGTCGGCAGAATCAAAAAGCTATGTTTGACCATCTCAGCTATTTATTGGAGAACAGCAGTGTTGGTCTTGGTAAGTAAATTCGTGGCTTTTATATCATCTTTAAGATAAAAAGAATATGTTACAGTTAAATTAAACTTTAATGGAAATTAATTTTAGATTAGTGCAGTATGTGTTGTATTTAGAAATGAAATTTTGAGGGAAAGTATGTTTTTATATAGCCTTCATGGTTGCCGCACAATCTAGGTTTTGTCTCAATGTTGTTTGAATTAACAGCCTCACCAGCAATGAGAGGTTCAACACCACTGGATGTGGCAGCCGCATCAGTGATGGATAATAATGAACTGGCCTTAGCTCTGCGTGAGCCAGATTTGGAAAAGGTAAGCAACATCCACACCCCTGTGTGTGTGTGATGCTTGTTTGTAGTTTTTTCTCAAGTTTATTTAAATATAACTGTACTGGAGTCATAGTTACATTGATACGGTCACATCTATTGCGTACTATAAACATGTTACATATATTACATATAGCATATAATTGTAAATTACAAAGAACAAGAAACTTGAGATAAAGTGTTTCCTCTGATCACATGCATTTTTCTCTGGAAAGGGAATGAACAAAAAGTATCTGTTGTTCCTTTTGTTTTAGTTGTACAGTTTCAATTTCTTCCAAGGTTGTTTTAACATCCCAAAGTACATTTCGTATCCTATAGACATATATTCCAGGGCAAGGCATCCGTGGCATATTAAGACCTTGCACTGTATGGGGCGCCTGGGTGGCGCAGTCGGTTGAGCGTCCGACTTCAGCCAGGTCACGATCTCGCGGTCCGGGAGTTCGAGCCCCGCGTCAGGCTCTGGGCTGATGGCTCAGAGCCTGGAGCCTGTTTCCGATTCTGTGTCTCCCTCTCTCTCTGCCCCTCCCCCGTTCATGCTCTGTCTCTCTCTGTCCCAAAAATAAATAAATGTTGAAAAAAA